CTAGGAATTGTGTTAGGAATCGAATTTAATATGGATTCAAGCACTCCAAACATTAAATATTCAACCCGACCAATAATGACGGTGAAAGGTTGTTCATCATCGGGTTTGATTTTGAGGAGACATTTTTAGGTGTCTACAGGAATGCAGTGAGGGAGAGGTGTCGAGTGCAGTGAAAGTAAGGGTACAGTGCAGAGAGGGGAGGAATGCAAGAAGCGAGGGCTATCCGGGAAGGCGGGCAGTGAGGGAGGGAATAAGTACACGGAGGGGGCAGTGTAGGGAGTAGGGTTCTTCACTTTGTTTTTTCAGAAAAGAATTAATAGCACAACCTTAATCGGGTGCACACTACATCACAAACTATTCAGTTTGGTGCAGAAAATGTCATAATACTTTTTTTTAACCAATTTTCACCATTTAAAAATTTTCCCTAACTTATTTAGTTACTTTATGATGCCTAGCTGTGGGGAATATTTTAAGAATCCCACACTTGAGCCCCACTGTTATCACACACTTAAGTATGGTGATGTTCAAAGGGAAGGAAGCTAGAGTAAAAGAGTCGCCAACAAGTTTTAGGAACTTGTAAACCGTTCACATGGTGAAGGTTACACCCCTTCACGAACCATGAGATCGCTAACTCTATAGTGGTCTGGAACCATGATTGGATATTCGGGGATGAAGGCACAAATTCAACCTAAAAGAGATTGAACCTGTCCTGAAATTAGGCCTCTACTTTATTCTTCTCATATTCATGTGCGCTTTCTGATTAACATACAATCAATATATTAATAATAAACCTCTTTATCTACGCTGGTTGAATATTAATGCACAAACAGAACTGTTATTGGCGATCACTTGAATTACAATCATATTATCGTAAACAAGATTATTAATTATCTTATTAAGCGTGATTACAAGTACAAATTCCCTTTAATCCTGCAAGAAAGGGCGTGATCAAGGAATAACAATACTAATATAATATCAACAACAATAATAATAACATATTGAAAACAATCATCATTATCGTCATAATATTCTCACTCTCAAAGCAAAATAATATTAGCAAGATACTAGGCATGATACTAATATGATTAATAAAAAAATCCTAGCATGTCCCTAAACAATAAGCTTTATCCCTAACATGATACTAACATGATAGAACAAATAGGAAGCAACATGATACTAGAAAGCAATAAAAGCATCCTAACATGATACTAGGACTTAAAATAATCTAAGCTTGATTCCTAAAGATATATAGCAATAAAACAACTTACTTTGTTGCCTCGTATCTCTTTCTAATAACAAAAGACACACGTTAATAACTTCAAGGAAAATATTAAATCAAACAATTAATTTAAATAATTGAAATAGGGATTTGGGACCAAACCCTCAGAAATTATCAACTTTTCATGTCTAGGGAGAAGGAAACTTCGAGCTTGGCTAGATGTGTATAGAACTCGTGAATGCGGTAATTTTACTTGAAAAGGGAAGGCTTAGAAAGAGGGAAAAGAATAAGCTTCTAGCTTGTATAGAGAAGAGAATAGAATTAGATGATTGTTGATGACTGTGAATGAATGAATACGGTAAAATACGACCCTATTTATAAGAAAAATAGCTCAGAAACGATAAGAAAAAGACCGAAGCCTAACTGGAATAAAACTACCTCTGTCGCGGTGCGACAGCTTTGTCGTGGCGGGCTAGTTCCTGTCGTTTTGCGATGGTTCACGCGTTTTCTAAAATTCGTACGGAATCCTTAATCTAATCAAGTTGGATTAATTTAATTTCGTACTTATCTTTAAAAATTAGATTTAATCTTTTTAAGAACACTTGTTTTCTAAAAACATAATTATTAATCCTAATTCCTCTAGAACTAAAAATAACCTTCTATATTATTCTAGAAGATTACAATAAATCCTAATAACTTTAGGAATATTAATTAATTAATAGGCCCTCCACTAGATCATTGGGCCATATGATACCATTTCAGGCCCAATTTAGTATTTTGGCAATAACTTTCTCATTATTCATCGAAATTGAGCTTATAATATATCATTGGAAAGCTCTTTTCAAGCTTAATATAACTACACCATTATTAGACCCTTATCATGGACCTAACTAAATTGGACTGGAAATTTTCATGAATAGAGTACATTTTTGAAAATAGAAAGAAAGTATTTTTATTAAAACAACCACATCACAAGACTTTTCACACTTTCACTTTGTCCGATAATCAAATGACGTAAAAGGTATTCATCACCGGGTTTGGTTTTTGGGGACACACAATTAGGTGTCTACAGAAGCCCCCACTTTGACTGAGTTTGGGAAAATGCATGTTTCGAAAACAAAAGTCAAAGTATTGTAGGGATGGAGAATGATTCAGAACGTTCGGCGATCCTTAATAATTCTTGTAACGCCGATACCTGCAAAATAGCGATAGTTAGACAGATAAAAGAGTTAAAAATGTGTATCTTGCACTGTCGAGCACACGTCTCTAAGTAACTGATTTTGTTGCTGCATTTTTGTTGTGACGACCTTCACAAACTAAGGAACGTCATCTCGCTGTTGTTGATGTTCACTCGTAGCTTATTTTTTAGGAATGTTCACTCGTCTCTTACACAATGGAGCTTTTTAGAATGTTCACTCGTCTCTGAACAAAGTGATAGGAATGGTGTCCTTTGAACAAGTGTATTATTCCGGTATAGGGTTCGGAATTATAAGAAAGCTAATTATTTATTGAGGTCAAGTGATCGAAATGTCTAGGTGGAGGCCGCTTTCTGATCAGTAATATTAATGAGTAATTAAATAATTACAGCTTAATCTTGACTGAACCCTTTGGGTCACACCCAAGCAACTAACAAACCGACACGACGAATTAACTCAGAAGGAATTAATGAGTCGCTCGAGTAATTAATATTTAGACGTCGGAAATTCGAGCTTAGACCGTCGGAAGTCGAGTCAAAATAATAAAAGACGAGACGGTAAAATCACTAATTAATCAATAATTTATCTAAATACCCCTAGGATCGGAATGCCCCGAGCAAATTGAAGTCTAGGGGCATTTGGTATAGCCAAGGTGGCTAGCAAGTGCACCATGCCGAGTCTTGGATGGCCGGTGCATGCTAGCGTACCAAGGCTAGCATGGTACGCTTATATCCACAGCTTCTATGGCAGGCCAAGCAAGCTAACAAGGCACGCACATATCATCAACATCTATAGCGCGCCATGGTGCTAGCTGTGTTGCGAGGAAGGTGCGGAGCAATTGCTAGTTGTGTGTGTTGGCAGGGGTACAACAGCACGCCGAGGCCAGCAGCCAGCACTTGTGTGCGTGGCTTGCTGGGCTGAGGCAGCAGTTGTGCGCCATGCCAAGGCCAGCAGCTAGCTGGGTTGAGGCAGCAACCCACCCCGGGTTGTTTTGGTGCCTAACTGGGGTTGCCACATGGCAGCACCTCATTAGTGCCTTGTTTGGTATAGGTGGCTGGTTATGGGGAGTGCTTGGGGATCAAGTTTGGTCCCCTCCCTTCCTTGTGGTCCTTACCTAACTTTTCCCCTAAATGTGCCACTTGTTGATTAATTAGTTTTTAGATATTTAATTTTATTTTTTATTTAAAAATAAAGAAAAAAATATTGATTTTACCAACTCTTCCACATTGATGGGAAAGAGGATTTCACCCATGAGTTTCTCTATAAATATCCAAGTTGGGGTATGGGAAAACTCACTTGGGTAAAGTGTAAGAAAAGGCATCTCCATTGAGGAAACCTTTAAACGCATAATTACTCGAGTAATTTTGTCGGGCTTAGCTAACCTCTAAGCAATAGACCTAGTCGGGGTCGAGTTGCGGGTGGATACCATAGGAGTTTTTCGCTCGTTGCGAGACTTAAGCTTACTGAAGTAAGAGCTCGGGGTACGAGAAAAGCACGCGTCAAAGGTAATTAAGTCTTTCCTTAATTCTTGTTAATTATGTTAATTATATTTTTTGATTATATTAATTGTTTGTTTGATCTTGGCTTGGGTTTTATTTTGCGATGAGTCAAAATCATCATAACCCAACACAAAGAGCTTGATAGGATGCCCATGCGTCTCTGAGCAAAAGAGCTTGAAAGGAATGTCAACGCTTCTTTGAACAAAGAGCTTTGAATGATATGCCCACGCGTCTCTGAGAAAAAGAGCTTTGAAAGAAATGACTACATGTCTTTGAACAAAGAGCTTTGAATGATATGCCCACGCGTCTTTGAGAAAAAGAGCTTTGAATGCTTAAATGTTCGTTGAGATTGTTCGGTTGGCTGCGAACAAGAGCTTTGCTGAATGGTTGTATCCTGTAAAATCAAAAGATTACCAAAAGACTTTGCTGGTGTTTTACTTAGGGTTGGCCTAAGGCTTGATGTTTTTCTTAGGGTTGACCTAAGACTTAGTGTGCTTGACATTGTAATTGCATTGACTTGAGGTTAACTTAAGGTGCTTTGACCGACTTAAGGTTGACTCAATGTGTTCTGATACGTGTGTGTAAACTCAACTCGATGTGATGTGACATGACATGACTTAGCGTACATGACTCGTGTGTGCATTGTAATGTGATTGTGTGACTCAAAAATGCAAAAATATTCCATCATTTTTGTGGAGGGTACCGACTTTCTCCTGAAAAAGAATCGAAGTGAGTGTTTGAGCGTTGTGGTGCATGTTGAATGAGCTTAGTCAAATGTATGCGTCGACATTGTATCACATAGTGCAAGGATTAGTTCATCCTAGGCTATGTTAATTGTTGATTCGATGATGAAAGTATTTAGGTAACTTAGGCACGGAGGAAAAGTACTTCATACTTTGTGATGCAATGATGATTATAAGTGATGAGTGATCTTAATATGACTAGGGGTGAAAGTTCGGTATTCGGTTTGGATTTTATACCAAACCGAATCCAAACCGAATTAATTCGGTTTTTGAAATTGAATCCAAACCGAACCGAAATTATATTGGGCCTGTCATTTTGGGCCTAAAAAGTTGGGCCTGATAATTTGACTTATTGTGTTAGCCTTGTGGCCTAAATTACCTAGAATTAAAAAGAAAAGGCTTTAAAATTGTCATGAATTACAACCCTACAGCAGCTAAATTACCTAGAAATTTAAAAGAAAAAGCTTTTGAATTATAGCATAACAACGGTCCATAATAAGATAATACATAAAAATTGTCCAACCATTAAAATATTAAAATCAACTTCAAGTCTTCAAGCCTTCAAGCAACATGGCAACAATTATTACGCCTACCAAAACAGCAAGTACTCCAAGCTCCTCAACAATCTGTACAACACCAAAAAAATCCAAAAAAAAATAATAATTAAATTAAAAATGAGCAGATCCACATAAATTGAAAAAAAAAAACCAGAAATATGAAATCAAATACAACATGAAAAATTTAACATCGAGGGAGCTTAAAAAAAACACAGAAAATCAATTACAAATTCCAATAACTAGACCCAATTCGAACATAACAGAACAAAACATCATTGTACGTAGTACATCAAATTCCCAAGTCGAACATAACAGAACATTAGGAACAAATGAATATCACCAAATCGAACATAATAGAACACCAAATTCCCAATTCAAACAGAATAAAACATCAAATTTACCAATATAATTCGAAGAGAAGCAGGAAAAGTGGAGTGACATAAGAATTCTTACCATTAAGTGACCAAGAGAGGTGGTGGCGACAGTAGGTGGTGGCGCGTCGCGGATTTCAGGGAGTACGAACACCGGATCTGAGGGAGTACCGGAATTGAAGGAGGGTGGTGGTGAGATACGAACACGAAACACCAAAACTGAAGGAAGGAGGTGGTGAGATACGAGGTACGGTGGCCGGAGTGAGGTGATGAGGGAGAATACGGGTTTTGGTGAGGAACTAAGGAATGAAGGTAGAGAGGTTGGGCGGAATGGGCGCAAGTTAGATTAAATGAAGAGGAATATTAGGGTTTTGCTATTTATATGTAGGGGAATTGGGCTGGAAATCTATGGGCTTAAACATTTCAATTTGGATTTCGGTTTTTGGTTTTTTGGGACCCCAAACCAAAATATTTTGGTTTCAGTTTTTTGGAACCGAATCCAAACCAAAAACCGAAAAAATCGAACTGAACTACTTTCACCCCTAAATATGACAAGGCGTGCTTCAACATCGTGTTAAGATTTCATGACAAAGGGTTACTAAAGGAAGGTTTATTTGTTCATGCATCTATTATGTGTGTGAAAGTGACACTAAAGTTAGGCCGCAAAGGCTAAGTGTGTGGAAAAATATTTTAGAACTTAGAAGAGTCAAATAGTGGTGACTCTTAGGCTGGGTAGGCTAATGATGTAGGGATCAAACCCCCAAGTTTAGAATCTAAGTGGATAGGGATGAGCATTGGAGATCCTTTGATATTATCATGTATGAATGTGAATGTGAATGAATGCATTTTTATTACGGTTGCACCCCAATGTAAGGTTGCCTACGTATCCATTAGGAATCAGGCTGAACGTAGCTCTAGCCGAACCTCGCACAAGTGTGTGTATGCCTCAAGGAGGTCTTTTAAGGGTTGTAACACGGTTAGGCTAAAGGTTGAATTGAAGAAGAAGGAACTAAAGGCTCAAGACCCTAAATAAGCCCCCAAGGTATGCAACCTTGCTGTTGAAATCTTTATATTTTTTATGTTTGAGGTTTCCTCACTTTTTAACTCTCTTTCTTTTGTTTATTTTTTTGCTCTCTCTTTTTGCTTTATTGTTTTTTATTTTGATAATTGTGGGCAATCCCAATCATGCGGTATATAACTCACTTGGCATTCATGTTTCTCAAGCACGGTACCGAGCACTCGATAAGAGAAGTAATTTGAGACGTGTTCATATCAAAAACATGTTTATGTCAAAGACATTGGAACACTTGCCCTTTTTCACACTTTTATATTGTTATTGCCTTTTGCTATTTTAATATTTTAAAATCACTCAAGATTTTGAAATTGCATAAGTTGCACACCATCCCATCCCAAGGTTAGGTAGATGTGGGTTGAAGAAAGAAAGGTCTATCATTAGACGAGGCTTACAGTGTTTTTTTATCAATAAAGGATTTTTATTTTTAAAAGAGGTAAAGGTGATGGCTACAAGGGGTGCCTCAAATCATAAGTATACCTTGTGCTTAGTTCGGCAAGGATTTTTTTTAAATGCAATGTGATGATCATATGCAAGAAAAGGAATGCTTATTTATTAAAATGGAAAAAGATAAAATCTATGGAATAAATCTAAGGAAAACAAAAGGTGCCTATGATAGACTTTATTGGGGAAAGGAGAAATAAAAAAGAAAAAAGAGGTCATGACATCTTGTCGTTGAAGCCCGCCTTGTGTCTTGTGCTTTATCATCACTCGGTCTTCTTGCCAACTGAAGGTATGAGAAGCATGTTATTATCAATCAAATATTGGATGGCCTCTTTTAGATTCCAACAGCTCTCAGTAGTATGACCTGTGTACCTTGATGGTACTTGTAGTGTGCGCCTGGGTTCCAATTAGGTAACCTCTTTTCATGTGCGGGATCTTGAATAGGTCTAATGGGAGTAATGAGTCCCTTGGCATGGAGTCGATCGAAAGCAGTATCATAGCTCATCCCAATAGGGGTGAACCCTTTCCTTAGTTTCTTTTTGGGTCCTTGATTATCCATGGCTAAGACTTCATTAAGGTCAAAGGTACTAACATTGTTACTAGAGTATGTGTTTTCGAAAGAAGAAGGGTTGTCGTTATTCTTTCCTTTCCAGCCATTGTTGTTACTATTGTTAGTAGTTTTTTGTTTTGCAAGGTCATCCTCGATTTCAATACCTATGTCATAGACAGCCTTGAAAGTATTCAAGTTGTGTTGGTATTTCAAATGCTTCAAATACTTCTCTTGGAGGTTCTTGATGAACATCCTAACAAACTCCTTTTTAGTAGGGACCTTGACTATCTTATTGTCTCAACATCTCGAGTTCTCTATGGTCAGTCTCAACTTGAATGTTGCACTTGTATCTATCAATGAAAGCGTTTATTATGGCATCCCAAGAAGAGGTCTTCTCTTTTTCAAGGGAAAAGAACCATTGTTGATAAACGGTTTCTAAAGATAATGAAAACAGTGAATGGAAAACCTTCCTATCAATCCCTTTAATATCCATTATTGTTTCAAAAGCTCTTAAGTGGAGGTAAGGATTGTTAGTTTGCTTGAATCTAGAGATGTCATTGGCATTGAATTTCTGTGGAATAAGTTCTTTGTCAACTGAGACCCCTTGTGAGCTAATCCCCTGGAACTTGTAGTCATTGGAGAGCTTGCTCAAGCTTTCCTCCATTCGCTCCATCTGTTGTTGTTTCGCAGGGTCATTGACTTGAATATCAATAGTCTTCATCATCTCAGTCAGATTGTTCATGTTTTGCCTTAGCTCATAAACTTCTTGTTGGGAAGCCATTAGTAAGAACTTTTTCCTGTGTCAGATGGGTTTTTCAAAGAGTAGAGCTTGAACGAAGGTGTTGTCCCTAATTAAGCGCCCTTCTCTTATTGACCAAGTACTGCGGAGAAGGAAGTTATGGATACTTTTTGTTAATTATTTGACTCAAACTCTATTCAACATGCATGGATGGGAAGAGATCATGGAAGAATGAAGGGAATAATATGTATAGAGAAAGCATGTGGAGAGTGGAAAGATGATGTAGATGGAGAGATGTGGAAGAATTCAGGAATAAAGTGCACCCCCAACTCAAATGATAGAAAGAGCGACTCATGCATGAACCTAAGACATGGTCATGGTGTGAAAGAGTATGTACATAGTGTGTGAATACTTGTGAGTGTAAGTGATATGTTCAAGACTCTTGTCATTTTCATGGGACTAGACTATGTGATTAGACTCGAACAAATACTAAGTTAAGACTTCATTATATACATTAAACTAGACAAGATGTGGTATTTTAGTCATAACTTTTGATATGTGACTTAGAATTGGGAGAAACCAACTCCAAATGAAAGACAAAACTCGGGGGTACAGATCCATAGGTTTAACGACTCGAAACTCTTCCTAGAACTCCGGCTATGACCAAAACAATTTGACGCTTGTGTAGTATACGGGAATTAAAAATCTGGGTTGACTCAAAGGAACTATGACTTGATTTTAGACATATTTATTAGCTCAAATTAATTAATAAATTAATTAAGCAAAGTCCTTTAGTCCTTGGTTAGTTTATTTAAGCATATTTATAATCACAAGTCAAACCAAACAGTTAGCTTAATCACATGTAAGTATGCACAAGCAAGTAATGCACAAGTAGTCAAATAGTCATAATATGATGCAATGAGTTTGCAACCTAACCATGGCTCTAGTTCTCTAAAGTTTTAGGATAAGGGTTAGTCAAAGAGGGTCCATAGTTATGAATATGAATGCATCACGCAGAAGCCTTACCTTTGGAAGGGTTGGCGCGTATGGATGTGACCCCCGCAAGTTAAACTTGCTTCCATGGTTTGGTGAATTCACAAACTCGGATGTACCCGTCGCTGCAATGAGCGAGCGTGAATTCCTAGAGGGTTATATCCACATGTAGAACACATATGGGTTCAAAAATGTGAAAAAAAAACTCAGTTAGGAAGTAAAATCGAGCAAATAGTACTAGAACTGGTCAAAGCAAGAAGGAAGATTTCTAGCTCAGTATTAGAAGAATTTAGCGCGAGACAACAGGGATCGTTGCGAGACGATGACCCTGTCTCTACGTGACATTGCTGTTGCATAGAGACAGAGTCATCGCACTGTGATGGGCACTATTTTCTCAGTGCCAGTTCCTACATGCCTCAACTGTTCTTAGAATTTTCCAGTTTTTCGTAGTGTTTTTTCGATTCTAGTTGTGAAAGATATTTCCTAAATTTCCTACATGTAAAAAATCCTATGTTTTTGACTCATTATAGATGGCCTATGCAATGCGGACCTTTTTATGCTTATGCCAATAATGTCAATCAAAATTACGCACATGAATACTTAGAACGTTTCGAGTCTCATCCACTCATTCTAAATTATTGCCTAAATAAATTTTAGGAATTAAAATAGAAATCCTCTCCAGTGGAGTCGCCAAAAAATGTAGGGAATATTTCAAGCATCCCACACTTGAGCTCCACTGTGATCATACACTTAAGTTTGGTGGCGTCCAAAGGGAAGAAAGCTAGAGCAAAAAAGTCACCAACAAGTTTTAGGAACTTGTAAACTATTCACAGGGTGAAGGTTACACCCCTTCACGATCCATGAGATTGCTAACTCCATAGTGGTCTGAAACCATGACTGGATATTTGAGGATGAAGGCACAAATCCAACCTAAAAGAGATTGAACATTCCCTAAAAATAGGCCTATACTTTATTCTTCTCATATTCATGTGCGCTTTCTGACTAACATACAATCAATATATTAATCCTAAACCTTTTTATCTATGTTTATTGAATATTAATGCATAAACATAACTATTATTGGCATCACTTAAATTACAATCATATTAGCCTAAACAAGATTATTAATTATCATATTAAGCGTGATTATAAATACAAATTCCCTTTGATCCAGCAAGAAAGGGCTTGGTCAAGCAATAACAATAATAATATAAAATAAAGCAACAACAATAATAACATATTAACAACAATCATCATCATAATATTCTAAATCTCAAAGCATAATAATATTAGCAAGATCCTAGGCATGATAGTAACATAGTTAATAACAAATCCTAGCATGTCAGTAAACAATAAAAATTAAAGCTTTATCCTTAATATGATACTAACATGATAGAAGAAATAATAAGTAACATGATACTAGAAAGCAATAAAAGCATCCTAACATGATACTAGGAATTAAAATAATCTAAGCATGATTCCTAAAGATTTATAGCAATAAAATAACTTACTTTGTTGTCTCGTATCTCTTTCTAATAACAAAAGACACATGTTAGTAAATTCAAGGAAAATATTAAATCAAACAATTAATTTAAATAATTGAAATAGGGATCTGGGACCAAACCCTCAGAAATTATCAACCTTTCATGTCTAGTGTTAAGGCAACTTCGAGCTTGGCTAGGTGTGTATAGAACTCGTGAATGCGGTATTTTTACTTGAAAATGAAAGGCTTAGAAAGAGGGAGAAAGAATAAGTTGC